TTTGTGCCATTCTGTCAAAAAGGATTTGGCTATTTTCACAGTTGACCATTCTCAACTGTGACATTGTCTCACCTGGGAGTGGTCATGAAGGCTTTCTGCCATCGGGCTATGTAAGCTGAAGAGGGGAACACTAACCATCAAGCAGTCATTGGCTATTCTATGGAACGTCCCATTTTTCTCCCAGAAAATATGAGTTTGGTCCTTCTGGAGTGATCTGCCATTTTCCAGAAGTGATCATGGAAATAATGACCTACCTAGAGAATGACCAAATTGGGGCATTCCAGGAGAAAAAGGGAGTCTTCTGGTGGACACAGAGCTTTCCCCATCCCTACTGGAGAACATCTTGGGGGTGAAGATTGGAAGCCAAAATTAGATGCAATTAATTAACTATTAATATGATTTAAGTTGTTCATATTTGAAGAAATATGCACACAGAAACACACAAGAGATCCCTGACCCCTTGTGGACTGATTTATTCCCAAACTGAAAACAAATTCAGAGATGTTATGTGGGGTAGAGATGGGGAGTGTGCATTTAAAAATCAAGATGACTATCGCAACTGTGCAATCAAAGACCCTTTTTAATGTTCGGGCCACCACCTTGACTTTTTTGACCCCTGCCGTGGTATGGTCAAACTCTCCTTCTTTATCACTGGCCATCCAGATATACCAGCCATGTCACTGTGAAATTAAAAGTAAAGTTTCTCCCCTCAGCTCCTGGTTACCACACTGATACATCCAGATAGTTTTCTTAGAGCAACATAGCTATAAACTGTCACTGTCTTCTTTTAGAAGAAATACTAGCTTTCCAGGCTAGACTTCAGCCCTGGATTTCTGAGTGGCCTCCCATCCATCCAGCAATATCTCTGCTTAGCTTTTTCAAGGTCAGCAGCCTCCCTTGAACTGAGCTTGAATCCTGCCAGCTTCACTGACAATGCAGAAGTAGTTTATAACCCACAGATTTCTAGTGGTCTCCCATCCAAGTATTAACCAGATGTGACCCTGCTTAGCTTCCAGATGCGGCCAGCTATGTGCTGACACCTGTGCAGACAGATGCACCTCTACTCTGGAACACAATCTCCTGAGTAAAACATCAATTTAGCTGAGTGGCAAGGAAATCACATTTAAATGTCCCCAATTAGATGTCATTATGGGTAATTACAACTCCCATTATCCATGATTTCACTATGTGACTCTACACCAACCCCTGTGATTTCCCAACTTCCAGATGTGTAGACTAATACCCAGAATTCCCCAGACAGCATGGCCCTTGCAGAACATCCTTGGAGTTGAAGTCCACCTGCCTGGAAGGTGCCACCGTTGAGAAAGGCTGGTCTAACCCAGTGTTTTTCAAACTGGCAACTTTAAGATGTGTGGACTTCGGCTCCCAGAATTCTGTGCAAGGGCCATGTTGGCTGGGGAATTCTGGGAGTTGAAGTCCACACTTCTTCAAATTGCCAAGTTTGGAAAAGACTGGCCTGAACTATCTCACGGGCTACCGAGATTTAAGCTGCAGAAAGACAGCCCTGTGTTCTTTGGAGGTAAGTTAGGATAAAGTATAAAATGCAATAAAACTCATCCCTCCCCTGGAAATCCTTCTGAAGCGAACAGACAAAAAAGGATACTGTTGTAATTTCTGCCTCTGGCTCATAGAATTGCTTTTGGCAATGATTTTGCCCAGGCCAGACACCCAGTGATTTGCATCAGTTTCTGAGCCAGCGATGAGGTCCAGGTTCTTCTTCTGGTCTTTGAAGATGATAGAAAAGCAGCGGACTTCAGGGACATCCTTGGCATATTTTTCCATCCCTTCGGTCTTATGACCTGGCCTGACATCCTGGATTTCTTCAATGGAGACTGCAGGAGCAAACCCAAGATTGGTGGTCAGAGGCAGACCCTAACCAGATCTATCTACAGCAACCAGGCAGCCCTAATGAAACTTCTCACCCCCCTCGGCTCCTTGCTGGCAGAGGTGTTTTCCCCTGCACGCAAGTTTTGTAACTCGAAGACATAAATAAATCTCTGCTTTGCAGCAAAGCTTAAAGAAAGAAGAAGAAAAAAAGTGTGTCTTCTCCAGAGGGTTGAGTCTTCTCTTCAAGCGAAAACACAACTTGCCAAGAACCAAAATCCAGAACTGTCAGGAGCATGTCAAATGGCACACATACGTGAGTCAGCCCTGTATTCAAATTCTCCAGAATGCATCCTTGGGCGAAGACAGGACCATCTCTTTTGGGGAAGGGTCAAGAAAGTCAAGATGGTGGCCTTAACCCCATGATTGAAGCTCCACTCTCTTTGTGACGCACTTCAAAAGGAAGAGAGGCTTCAGTCACGTCGTGGCTCCTGCAATCTTGACTTTTTTCAATTCCCTGCGGACACCCCTTGCTGAGGAAATACAAAACTTGGGGGATTTTCATGCAGGTTCTTGTCCACCGAACATTCTGGAGGTGTTTTTCCCCTTTCTATGTTAAATCTCCTTCTAGTCAGTCAACCATTAATCCATCTTACAACAGGCGAGCCCATTCCAATTGCTAACGGGGCAAAAACTAATGTATTGCTTTACATTTAATCAGCAAGAATATTGATTAATGCATTGTCTCAGAAACGAACTTCAAAATACCCCATTTAAAATCCCCCAATGTTAAAAACCGAATCTGAACTCTGAAAGTGACTGGTTTCACACCCGTTTCTCGCTTTCATGTTAGCTCGTTTCAACGCGTCACAGCGCTGGGATCTAGAGGGCTTTTCGAGTGCAATGGCTCTTCAGCCGCAGACGCACATTTGCACGTCCAATTTCACAAAAGCTGAGAATCTGGGTTTATTATTTGCAAACGGTGCAATGCCACCAGTCCCCCTCTCATCACGCGGATGAAAAAATGACCAGGAACAAGAATGCTTCTTATGAGGGTCCCAAATTGATGCATTTTATAACAAACAGCCATTTTAAGTCTGGATTTAAAATGGATGTTCCCTTCCTGGCCTTTGAATGCCTTATCCTCCGTGACTTTATCTCAGTGTTGTCCAAACTTGGCCACTTTAAGATGAGTGGACTTCAACTCCCAGAATTCCCCAGCCAGCAT